TATACTTAGAGATTTGATGATGGCGGGAAAAGTTTCTGAGGCCGACTTCAAGGATGCTCGTGCTAAGGCTCGTACGGCTTGGGTCTCTTGTGGCTATGACCCCGCTACACTAGAGGTCGGTGATAGCGAAGAGGATTAGGGCATGAATTGGATAGAGCAGGACACCTGGTGTAAGGATGAATATCCTGATGGAAATGGCAGATAAATGGGTGGAGATGGCGCTACTGGGTTAGGCGGCGAGTAGTTAGTCTTCTTTCTTTTTGCATGTAAACTTTGTACATATTTTCTTGGGCATTTGTTCTAACCTTTGTAAAGAATATATTTTGTGTATGAAATTCCATTTGCTGGTACCTGACTCTTCTTTTTCTATTCGGGTTTGTATGCCTCTTTCTTTTGTTTTGTCGTTTGGTCGCTTTAATCGTAAAAAAGTTAGTTCATGTATGTTGAACGAGGTCGAAACAGAACTCAGTTTTGATCATGGCCGAGGGTCAGTAGGTGTTAATTCGAACGAGATCGAACATAACCTTTACTTAGTTAATTCGAGCAAGGTTGAATGTAACTTTTTCTTAGTTAATTCGAGTGAGGTCAAATGTAACTTTTACTTAATTAATTTGAGCGAGGTCGAATGTAACTTTTGTTTAGTTATGGCTGGGGGCCGAATGGGTGTTAATTTGAACGAGGTCGGATGTGACTTTTTCTTAGTTAATTCGAGCGAGGTCGAATGTAAAGTTTACTTAGTTAATTCGAGCGAGTTCGATTGTAAATTTTATTTAGTTATGGCCGGGGGTCGAATGGGTGTTAATTCGAACGAGGTCAAATGTAACCCGTACTTAAGTTAATTCGAGCGAGGTCAAATGTAACTTTTTTCTTAGTTATGGTGGGGTCCTAATGGGTGTTAATTCGAACGAGGTCGAATGTACACCGTACTTAAGTTAATTCGAGCAAGGTCGAATGTAAATTTTGTTTAGTTATGGCCGAGGGTCGAATGGGTGTTAATTCGAACGAGATCGAATGTAACCTATACTTAAGTTAATTCGCACGAGGTCAAATGTAACTTTTTTTAGTTATCTCTGTAGGCCGAGTAGATATTGAGGCAACATTACTTTGGCGAAAATATGGGCGAACTTCATGCGTTTTGTGCTTTGTTCATGTATATTGGAGTAATTTACATGTTTTTCGGGCTAGCATTCCGGTATGTCTGTTTAGTGTCGGTTGGCATCCCAGTCCCAGTCTATTTAGTCCCTTCATTGGTCGACCTGGAGAAGTATTGAGAGGTTGGGCAATGAACTGACCGTCCTGTACCTCTGCCCATTTGTACTTTTGACTTGAAGTATCCCCTTGTCGCCTCATTACAAACCTCCTTGAGAAAACCCAATTTAGACAAAACTCAAGTGAGGGAAAAAAAGTGTGACTTGGAGAACACTCTTTCTTAAAAGTTAAAGTACTTGAGGTGGGAGACATTCCATTTGTTTGGTAGCAATTTTCCTTCCATCGTTTCTAGTTAGAATGATCATTTGTTTGCTATTGCCATGATTTTGTATGGGCCTTCCCAATTTATTCCCAGTTTTCCTTTCCGCGGCTCTTTGCTTGCTTGTGTTTTATCTTTGAGCACGTAGTCCCCGACTTTGAGTGTTCTGACCTTAACCTTTTGCTTGTAATAGTGTTCTGCCTATTGCTTTTAGGAAATCAACCTTATGTAGGCCATATCTCTCCGTTCTTCGGTTTCGTTGAGCTTTTGTCTTCTATGTTTGTCATTCCTTAGCCGGCTCTCGTGGGAATATCTCAAACTAGGCTCTCCGACTTTGACTGGTATTACTGCATCAGTCTCATAGACTAATGAGTAGGGCGTCTCTCCCGTGCTTGTCTTCGGCTTTGTTTGGTAGGCCCAAAGTACTTCTAATATTAACTCCTGCCATAGTCCCTTGGCATCCTCGAGCTTTTTCTTCATGATGTTCAATATTGATTTATTGGAGGAGTAGCTTGTCCGTTGCCTGCGGTATGATACGGTGTTGAGAGTATCCTTTTGATATTCCACTTCTCGAACAATTCAGTGACCTTTTTCCTGTAAATTGGGGTCCATTGTCGCAACTGATCTCTTTGGGGAGGCTGAAGCGGCATATGATGTTTTTCCATATGAAGGCGATCACTTCCTGTTCGCGTATTTAGGCAAATACTCATGTTCTACCCATTTAGAAAAATAGTCAGTTAAAACCAAAAGAAATCGTACGTTACCTCACCCTGCTTGGAAGGGGTCAATGATTTCCATTCCCCATTTGATGAACGACCATGGGGAAGTGACGGAGTGGAGGTGTTCGCCCGTTCGGTGGATCATTGGGGCATATTTTTGGCATTGCTCGCATTTTTTACGAAGTCTGCAGTGTCTTTTTTTATGGTGGGCCAGTAGTATCCTGCTCGTATGAGACATCTTACCAGAGTTCGATTACCTGAATGAGCTCCGCAGTGGCCCTTGTGGACTTCTTCGAGGACGCGTTGTGTCTGATTCGGGCCTAGGCATTTCGCTAGGGGACCGCCATATGTCCTTTTGTATAGGTCATTATGAATGACACTGTACCTGGCTGTTTGCATCCAAAGCTTCTTGGCTTCTTTTTTATCATCTGGGAGTATGCCATCCTGCAAGTACGTAACAATACAGTTGCGCCAGTCCCACGTTAAATTTATGGTCCTTACCTCGATTTGATCTATTGATGAGCGGAGGAGGGTGACCATGTTTCCTTCTCTGATTATGTTTTTAGTGGCTGATGCTAATTTGGCGAGGCCTTCCGCTTCGATATTTTATGCTCGAGGAATCTGGTCGAGCTGACATTCATCGAACTCGGGCAGCAATTTACGGATCTCGGCCTGGTATTTTTGTAACCTTTGCTCTTTTATCTGGAAAGTCCCTGTGACTTGGTTGACGACGAGCTGATAATCGCAGCGTAGTTTGACCCGTCTCGCCCCGTACTTGAGTGCTAGCCTTAATCCTGCAATCACGGCCTCATACTCGGCCTTGTTATTAGTCATACCCGGGCACCTTATGGACTAGCGAATCACTTCACCTGTCGGGACTTCGAGTACGAGTCCGAGATCGGATCCTGATATGCTGGAAGCACCATCAGTTTACAAAATCCATAGATCTTGTGTTTGTGGAGAAACGTGGGTGGATTCTTTTTCGACTTCGCGCATTATTTTTGCATTGAAGTCGGCGATGAAGTCAGTAAGGACTTGTGATTTTATCTCCATTCGCAGTTGATATGTGATTTCATGCTTGCTTAATTCTATGGCCCATTTGGCTAACCTGCCCGATAGCTTGGGCTTATGCAAAATACTTCTCAAGGGGAAAGTGGTGACTACCGAGATGGGGTGGCACTGGAAGTAGGGTCTAAGGTAGACGAGGAGGCGCTCCCCGAGTTCCGATTTGGAAAGCAGCGGTGGTGATGACAAGTAAGCATTTAACTCCCTCAGGGCTTGGGTGCACTTGGAGGTCCAGTGGAGGCCGTTATCCTTTTTGAGTACGCCAAAGAACTTGTGGCATGTGTCGGTTGATCACTAAATGAATCTTGACAGCGCGACGACACGACCAGTCAGCCTCTAAACCTATTTTTTAATGGTTAAGTGCTCGGGTATTCTTTCTATGGCTTTGATTTTGTCGGGGTTGACCTTGATGCCTTGTTGCGACACTAGGAAACCCAAGAATTTTCCTGAGGTCACGCCGAATGCACATTTTTCGAGGTTTAATTTCATTCAGTATCGCCTGAGTATATCGAAAGCTTCTTTCAAGTGGCCGATGTGATCTTCTCTCCTTTTGGACTTGACCAACATGTCATCTATATAGACTTCCATAGTCTTGTCGAGTTGATCCTTGAACATTTTGGTCACCATCCTTTGGTATGTCGCCCCTGCGTTTTCAGTCCGAAAGGCATAACTCTATAGAAGTACTTTCCTTGATTGGTGATGAAGGTCATTTTCTCCTTACCCTCTTCTTCCATGAGAATCTGATTGTAGCCTGAGTAGGCATCTAAGAAACTTAGCAATTCATGCCCGGCCGTTGCATCAATGAGCTGGCCGATATAAGGTAATGGGAATGAATCTTTAGGGCATGCTTTGTTTAAATCTATAAAGTCTACGCATATTCGCCACTTCCTGTTTTTGTTTTTCACCGTGACCACATTGGTGACCCATTGGGAGTATTTTGACTCGCTGATGGAGCCATTTTCCAGTAGTTTTTTGACCTCCTCGTGCACTGCATCATTTATTGAGGAATCGAACTTCCGCCTAACCTATCGGGTGGTGGAATGGATCAACGTTCAATTTTTGTGTAGAGATCTCCTTCGGGATACCTGGCATATTTGCATGGCAAAAAGCAAATAAGTCTGTGTTAGTAGTTAGGAATTGACAGAATTTGCCTGGTTCTTGAAGCTTGCAGCAGATGTAGGCTTTCTTGTTATGGTCGCTGTCTTCAGGTTGGACGTGGTCGAGGTCTTCTATTGTTGATTTTGCGGCCTCTACTATTTTGGGATCTCCGATGACGTCTTCTCTTTCATCGCAGCTCGATTCGGCCATGTTAATTGCTATGCCTCTTTTGCTTTGCCCTTCATTTGTTAGGTGGTTGTAAAATCCAGGGCGATGAGATAGCATTCTCGAGATGTGCATTGTTCTCCTCGTATGCTGAATATTCTTCACAGGGTTGGAAATTTGATAACTTGGTACAAGCTGGAGGGGGTGGTCCTCATGGCGTATATCCAGGGTTGGCCTGTTATATGGTTGTACACCGTGTCCTGGTCCTTGATGTGGAATGTGGTTTCTAGAGTGATGCTACCGGCTAGGACGGGGAGTGTGATTTCCCCATATGTTCGTTCAATGGCATTGTTAAAACTTGTTAGCATGATGCAACATGACACTATCTTATCCTCGAGTTTCATTTGTGCAAGTACTCGAGGGTGGATAATGCATGTGTCGCTTCCATCGTCCATCATAATGCGTCTCACATCTATATCTAACATTCATAAAGTGATAACATGGGCATCATAATGAGGGAAAACCAAACCGTGGGTATCTGACTTATTGCTAATGATACTTTCTTCGAGTTCGTAATACCATTCATGAGTGATCGACCGTTTAAGCTTGTGTGTTGTGGTGAACTTTATGATGTTGATTGAAGCATCGTCACTGCCCCCGATGATCATTTGAATGGTGCGGGTCTGTGAGGGTGGTTTCGGAGGTCCCTGGTGTTGTTCACGTCCTCGGTCAAAGTTGGTTCTCTTCCGATCGCTCAACAATTCTTTGAGGTGTCCTTGGTGAAACATGTTTACGACCTCCTGCCTTAGGGCGATGCAGTCCTCAGATTTGTGACCTCGCTCTTGGTAGAACTCGCAGAGGGCATCTGACTTTCTGTTGCTTGGATCTGACCTCATCTTTTGTGGCCACTTTACTTTTGGTTCGAGCTTCTCCAATGCGTAGACTATTTCTAAGGGCGACACACAAAAATTGTAAGCACATAACAAAGGGGGCATACCTCTCTCATTCTGCTGAGTCCCTGTCCTTGGTCTAGGCGGGCCCTCTTCGTGGCGGGAGAGGGCATGATGTCGCTTCTGATATATGGCCGATGCCATTCTCTAGGTTGTGGATCTGCGAGGTCCCTCCTGACATCGTTTCTTCGATCCTTTCTAGGCTCAACCCATACCAAGGCCAACCGATGGGTTGGCCCATTTAGGTCGTCCTCGTCATCACAGACCTCGGCACAGTAGGCGTTATGTACTTCATCCCAAATGGTTCGAGGATATTTCATAAGCCAACTTAATAACTTTCTAGTTGCCCTTGAGCCATTCCTTCTTAGCCCGTTTTGGAAAGCTGCTACAGCCATTCCTTCTAATACATTTGGTAAGTTTATCCTTACTCGGTTGAATCGAGCGAGGAAGTCCTTCCATCACTCTCTGGGCGACTGTTTGATGGCAAATATATCATTCACTCTTGCCTCCGCTTTTTTGGCCCCAGCATGGGCCGTTACAAACTTGTCGGCCATCTTTTCAAATGTTTGGATGGAACGCGCCGGTAGCTATGAATACCAAGTTAATGCTCCTCTGGTGAGGGTCTCGCCAAACTGTTTCAACAATATGGAGGATACTTGTTCCTTGGCAAGCTCATTGCCTTCTACAGCGGTGACATAGTGAGTCACATGATCTTCAGGATCGGACGTACCATCATATATTTTTGGATAGGGCAGTATTTGGCATGCGAGGCGGCTTCATCACTGTATGGTTGTTCAACAAACCGACCAACATCTCTTTTTGGCAAGAGTTTTAAGGCACCCAGTATTTTGTCGACTCTTTATTGGTGCTCTCTCATTTGGTCCCGAAGCACTTTGTTCTCGTTTTCCATTTCCTCCATCTTTTTCAAAATGGCTATGAGGGTGTCATCACCTACATTATTAATAGTGTGTGTAATAATTGTTACTGGAGGGAAAGGGCCATGCTGCTCGACCGTTGTTGGTGTAATACAAGTCATTGCATTTTCTCTAACTGTCTGCTGGGCGAGCTTGTTGAAGATGATGGTTAGCGTGTTAGCTAGCCAAGTCTCAAGAGCTTTTTCACTACTGGTGGCATCTCTTCTGTTGTGGATGTAGAAGCTCTTTTACCGTGGGATGCTACAATACTGCCGTGAGGGAGAGGCGACCCGCTTCGCCTGGGAGAGGCATTAGGCGTTATGTCCTCGCCTGGGAGAGGCATTAGGCATTATGTCCTCGCCTTCTGTCTCTGAAACCTCATTGATAGTTTTTAAAAGATCGGTGATGAGTTCGGTCACTACCCTCATTCTTTCTTCTCCATTACATGTGATGTCAGATCTGTGTGTACAAGGAAAAGGAGCTTTGTTCTATGTTTGTTTCTTGTTATCAACCCGTGATATTTATAGATCTAGAAGGAACCAAAAATTTAACTAGGGAATTCCCACAGACATCGCCAAATTGTTTGACCAAAAAGTGTAAACCTTCGGTTAGACTAATTAATTTTAAGTAATTAATGGGTTAAACCTAGTTAATGATAATATTTCAAGATTTAGGACTAGTTACCACATGTAACATAAGATAGTGCTAGTGAGGAATTTAGGACTAGTTACCACATGTAACATAAGATAGTGCTAGTGAGGAATTTAGGACTAGTTAACACGTGTAACTTAAGATAGTGCTAGTGAGGAATTAAATATAGTGTGCATTTAATATTCCAAAGGATATGAGTAATAATAGAGGAACATCAAGCAATAAATAGAAATAAATGACATTAATATAAATAAGGAGAATGATTCACCCAATATCGAATGAGGTGGATGATTCTTCTCTCTAACAGTGATGAATGCTAGATAACTTCTAGAATATTGGAACTATTCCCGGATCTGATAGAAAGGTATGGAATAATGGATGGTCGAATCTTAGTAAAAATGCAGTATTTGTATCTTTTCTAGAGAGAGAGTCTTCTTCTCAAAAAGTATTCTTATCAAATAAAAATTACATGCCCTATCCCCTTATCTCTGTTTCTATTTATATGGGACATATCCCTAATCAACCCCAATAGTACAAGTGCAAAGAATATTCAATGGAATTTTCTCTTTAGTACCTTATTGCAACACTAGCAGTTAGTACTCTGTCCAGGGTGCTCGACCTCGACTATCGTTAATTGCCTGACCACTAGTCCTACTGTTTACTAGTCGACCTTGGCCGCATCATTTTCCTTACTTCCGCATTATCCTAAGTTCCCCTAGGGCAAATTTTGGCCTATATAATAGCTTTGTTGTGTCATTTGGGACTTGGATGCAAAATTAGAAGTTATTCCGGGTTGATTTGATATGATTCGACAAGAGTTGTAGAAATTGAATGTTCATTAGGCTTGAATTGAGTTGAGATTCGTAGTTTTGTTGTTATTTGTATGAGTTGAGGCATCGATCAGGTCTGTGTTATGTTATGGTACCTGCTAGTATGTTCGGACCGGGTCGCGGAGGTCCCGAGTGTGTTTCAGATCATTTGAACCATGTTGGTTGAAGCTGATGCGGGCAAGGATCTGGTGTGGTCGCACCTGCGGACCGCTGGGCGCAAGTGCGGTGAGTGTAAGTGCAGACTAGAAGGCGCAAAAGCAAGCTGATTTGGAGCTGAGGTGTTACACATCTACGATGTAATTTCCGCATATGCGGCTACGCTGGTGTGGGTGGGTATGCGCAGGTGCGGCTTAGAGCTGGGTTGGAAGTCTCCGCAGATGCGGAGTGTTTGTCACAAAAGTGGTTTGTGCAGGTGCGCTTTGTTGTTCGCAGAAGCGATACCGCAAATGGGGTGTCTTGGGCTTAGGTGTGGTAATTTGGAATTTTACTTGTTTGCGCATCTACGATGAATATTCTACAGATGCAGCATCGCATATGTGACTGTAATTCCGCAAATGCAAAAGTGCTGGGCAGAACATATTATGTATCGAGGGTTTGATATTTTTATCACATTTTGAGTAAGAGACCTTGATTTTTGGAGAGTTTGGAGGGGTTCTTCACGACTTGGATTGGGGTAAGTGTTCTTTACCCAGATTTGATTATATTTCATAATTCCATCTTTGTTTTTATAATTAAATTAGTGATTTGAATTGGAGAAATTAAGGATTTTTGTAAAAACTTTCAAAAATATAAAAGGAGGATTTGAAGGCCAATTTGATGCCAGAAATGGATAATTTTAGTATGGTTGGACTCGTAGCGGAATAGGTATTCAGATTTTGTGAGTTTTGTCGGGTTTTGATTATGCAAGCCCGGGGTTGACTTTTTAGATCGAAGCTTTATATCCCGGAATCATTTTCTATGATTTTGATTTATGATATTAAGTTATTTTTACTAGATTTGAGCCGTCCGAAAGTAGTTTCACACGAGAAGGTCAATTTAGAGCATTGGTTTAGCTTCTTTGAGGTAAGTATCTTGCCTAACTTTATGTGGGGGAAATAACCTTAGGATTTGAGTTGTTTGTGCTATTTGTGTTATGTGAAAGCCGTGTACACGAAGTGACGAGTGCGTACTCGTGCTTATAGGTGAAAATTGACCGATTTAGATTCTTAGGCTTCTTTCACATATTTGTTTGAAATTGTTAGCCCATGTTATATCTGTTATTTGACATGTTTACTCTCACGTGCTTTATTTGAAGTTTTTAACACATGTCATACCCCTTTATTTATCAAGTCTGCTCTTAAATGCTTTATTTGAAGTTGTACCTCTTTTATCATTATGTGACTTCCTTTATTGTTGAGTTATATTGATTTAAGTGTTATTACATGATATTCTTTTTTTTTTCCGGAATATTCTCATGCATTTTTACTTAGTTGCTAGTTCATTCCATCTCTTTCATTCTTAGTTTAAATTCATATACTAGAATTCGAAGTTTGCCATTTCATGAAAATACCTTCATTATCGAGTTATCCTTAAGCACTTAATTGAAGTGGAAGTTATCAAAGGTCATTAATCTAATTTAATTGAAGTTGTGTTTAAAGGGGTGTTATTGTCGCGACCCCTTTTTCCCTCTTTGCATCGGAAAATAGGGTTTATGACATTTTGTGTGTGTGGGACAACTCATTCCTTTTGGGATTTGGGTTTGCATTTGAATAGTCGCCACCTAATGATTTAAGGTGCATTAGGACACCTACAGGGTTCATTTCTGAGTTTGTTTGATAACCAGAGATAGGGTAAGAGCTTGAAATTATCCTAAGGGGAAGGTGTTAGGCACCCCTCAGGATCCACTAGTGTGGTTCCTAGCCAGACAGTTTTGTGAATTTTGTACAATTAGCAGATAGACAAGTATAAGGTCAAATAGTAGGAGATTTGATTTTGAACACATAAGAGTTTGAAAACAATTATTAAAAGGCGAATTTTGAAAAGGAGTTACAATTCTACAAATACTTGAGAATATAAAAGAGGAGGGGGAGGGGGTCCTAGGTTTATTTATAATATGGATCACATCAATGCGATACCTGGTATGATACTCCTCAGAAGAAGGGATACACGTGGTATTAGCGCACCGGTCATCATATCCATATCTACCCTTCCCACCCCATTAAGGTATTAAAGCTCAGATTGATCTCGACCTTTATTGCATGTTATTACCCCGTCCCATTCCTATCAGTCTCGGAGGAATTTAGGACTACTATTTGTTGATACCCAATTTTTTCTTGTATATTTTTAATATACAAAATACTCTCCAAATAGCATGTATGTGCATATATAAGCATGTCTCAAGGTTTTATTATTTTTCTCTTAATTTTTAAAGATTTGTAAATCAATTATTGCCCTATTTTATCAAGAAAAACTCAGTAATTATCCCCAAAATTATCATTTTGAGTGATTCATTTATTAGATTCTCATATTTATATTAAAATATACCTAGCATAAATTTTGCATATTTTTACAAATTTATTTAGTATTTTTAAAGCTAAATTGCATATAATTGCAATATTGGCCTCTTTTAAGATTTAATTATAATTATATTTATAAAATTGACTCCAGTATTTTTTAATTTGATAATTATGTATTATTAATCATTTAGTACCTTTAATTTATTTCGAAAAATTATTTTACTATTTTTTATAAAATAAATAAAGGAAAAATG